TTCATCATATGTCATTTTGTCCGTACTATATGGACCGATCAGTTGCAGTTTTTATTAATAAATTATTATAGTTCCTACTTAATTAAAATACTATGTTACTGATAGCAAATGAATCAAAAATGTGTAAAAAGGATTGGGACCTATCATATCATTGAATAAATAAATTTTTATAAAAATAAAAGACCATGTCATTTTGACTGAACCTAGTTGTTCCTCTACCTACTTGAATAATATATTTATAGTTGTAAAACTATTTTTATCAATGTTTTTTGTCATATGTTTTCATATAATTACTTTGATATTAAAATTCAATAAGTAGATAAAATAATTAAAAAATGATAACATTTAAGTTTGAAATAATATTTATTCATAACTTTTTTCTTATGAATAAATAAATAAATACAATTATTGAGCACATTCAGATATTCACAAGTATTAGTTACTTCTATTAGTAAAAATATCGATACATAAATTAAACAATTTTATTTAAAAATTATAATTTGGCTACGGGAGTCACAGTATTGTTTAATTATTAATTAGATTGCACATGAATATTTGATTATAATTATACATAACGGTTTTGCTTAATAACATACATAATAATTTACTTATAAATTAATTGTAACAGAATTATTATATTGCAAATTTAACATCTCATTTAACTTATAAGTTATCAACATTTTTGGTTTATATTGTGGTGGAGAGCTGAAATTTCTTTACGAACGTTTTACGAAACTTCAAAGAAATAAATAACTCTTTTGAAAAATTGTTTATGTATAAAGATTAGTAAATAAATAATGTTAGTGGGAGTAAACTGCATAACGATTCATGGAACTCCATAAGCATGTGCATCAGACAGCACACAAGCCACTTCGTTCATGGCTGCATATTTGTTTAGACGTAACTGATTGTGAGATACTAAAAACGTCTTTTCATTATGATAATAATTCTATTAAATTTGTTTTAGAAAATCGTTCGCCTATATTTCGTTGCTTGTAAAGAAATTTTAAGAACTCTAAAATGCTTTGTTTAAAACTAGTCAATAACAACATTAACTTTTAATTTAATTAACAATTGCGCTAATGGTGGAAGAATGGCTTGTGTAATTGAGGGAACTGTATTGGGGGCAGATGATTTCCGCATTTTGGGAAATCTGGAGGTACTGGCGGCAGATCAGCTTGAGTTCCCACATGAACGATCAAGTTCATTCCAATGACTATGTGGAACAGGAAGTGGCAATGGAATAACCAATAACCTGGTGAAAATAAATAGTCTAAATATTATTAATTACAGGCACTTAGAAGTTTTATATAACAACAAGAATCAGAAGGTTTCAAAAATGAAAAAGAATTAATATTTTCGATTAAATTTAATGACCTGGATTGTCGGCCCTGAATCGCACAACCACGTATCCATTATTCGGAACAGCAATGGTATCCTTTCCTGGCGGTCTGTTAAATTCTCGATGCAGCAATCCCCTCCTGTCCAGATCTAAAGCATGCTTCAAATTGATCTTCTTCACACTCTTGTCTGGTGATCTTCCCATGCCAATGACGTTGAACGCGTACCCGTGAAGATGGAAGGGATGGGACAAGTTGACTTGTTGAACTGTAGAAAGTTTATTTCATATTAGTTGAATGTCTTTAAAATTATTTTGAACCAAAAATTGATCTTACCCTCATCTACGAGTACTATTTCCACAATGGCGTTCAATGGAATGTCTACTTTGTGAGTGCACATGCAATTGTTTCCACAATTCGGGGGCCTGTTGTCTCCATTGCAGAACTGCTCTGGTGGTATGTCGTATAATTGAGAGATTGGGGGCGCAGGTGGGGAAACGTATGATATTTCGTCCACTAAACTGATCACGTGATCACCACTTGGTGCCACTGAAATTGGAGAAAGACATGTAATGCGAGTTTAAGTTTAGATTCATGATTATTAGTGCTGATATGAAAGAAGTGGTATTGAGTAAGATATTTTAGCAATAGAAAATAAATTGACGAATAGTACAGCGGGAAAAGAACTAGATTCTACCTAAATATCTATTATAAGTGTTCGGTGTGAAAACCTCTTCTGGCCTATAGAACAGGAATCTGAACGGCAGGAAGATCTTCACATCCGGCCTCTGCTGCAGGAGACCTTCATCGACTCTTTTCGAATTTTTTAAATTACTGACGCAGACGGCGTCGGCTCTTTTCACATTACAAACGGCATCCAACGGATTTAGCACCTGTACAGAAAAATAATATATATGCATCGAGGGAATTCAAAATTAGAAGATATCATCGTTGGTGAAGTAAAATATTTTGAAAATTATATTTACAAAAGAATAACTTACCGGATACTTTTGATCATAGATTATATACAATGAGTTGTAGTGACGATCATACATATGTACACATGCATACATACATATATGTATAAATTTGCTTGAATAAAGGAATTGTTCATAAGACTTTTACATTTATAAATTATTTATATAGAACTCTAAATCATTTTTATACAAATATGGATTGTTACAGGAATTTTTCGAAATTGGGCAATTTATAACCTGCCCTATGAAATAAATTAATTTTATGTATTTTATTCAAATCGTTTTTCTAATTCGAATGGTATATTTGACATTTTTGTAAAATATGTAAATGTTTCATATTGCTTTGCAAAATAGGAAAATAATCTGTGCGTGCTAACAGAGCAATCATTTCGATATAGTTTACAATTAATATAAATGTTGTATAAGTTAAAATTGAATAACGTACAAAATTCTTATCATACATTATAATTTACAATCTATATTAAATTATTTCAGGTCACATTCCAAATTTTTCGATTTGGAATTGTTTTTATGTGTCAGGGATAACGTTAGGGTTATAGAACTGTTGTAACTTGGTTTTCTTTTTTTTTTCTTGGTCATCTAGTATGTAATTTTTTCTGTAATTATTATCTATAATATACTAAAAGTTTATAATGTTATTACAGTTAGCTTATATTATTTGTTGGCTTACATTACGAAGAGTGCTTATTATTTGTTGCAACTTTATCTGCTTTACAGAAAATCGTCAGTAAATTTGAAAATATGAAAGCATAATTAAGTGTGTCATTGTATCTTCATGCAAGTTGCACGAACTTCCCGATACGTTCAAATAATGGGCCTAATTAATAAAAATTGAGATTTAGTTATTTAGATGAAATTTTCAACGGTTGATTCAGAAAATAGCGTTTTCGCTTTAACTGAAAACTAATTAATGCGATTAACAATTGATATTTTTCAAACTTTCAATTGATATATGTAATTATATTAACAAGCGTTGCGCTTGTATGTCCACCAGTTTTCGTAGGCCTCTAATATTTTTAAGATTCTAAATTCTATCGCCATGTTTAGTTTCATTAGAAACGCAAAAAAATACATTTTCTTGTAAAGAAATGGTTCGAACGAACTTTAACAAATACTAATCAGTACGATTATCAAACGATATTTCTAAAACGGTTTTTAAATGAATTAAATCGTTTTTTTTGCATTTTTCTGCTAATTGTAAAGAAACGGTTTGGCCGACCGTCTCGAAAAACTTTCCAACACGAGTTCTTTTTTAGTTTTGAAATCAGTTCTGCCGTTTTTTGAGAGGTTAAATTTTAGCTCACATGATAAAAAAGCGTTGTAAAATTAAACCTTTGGTTTTAGGGCCGTAATATTTGAGTTAATTTGAATTCAAAAAATAATTACGAAGAAACGGCTTGATCTAAATTTACCAAAATCTAATAATCTAGATTCCCAACAAATATCTTTGCAGCAGCTTTTAAATTTTTAAAATCGGTTCCGGATTTTTGGCCAAAATGTGCAAGACAAGTTTTGCACTTTTCTGCAAATTATAAAGTAACTTTTGTGCTTTTTGTGGCACAATCTGATAAATGCAATCCTTATCGAATTATATTGAATGTGGCCTTTAAAATATCTTCTTTAAATTGGTGAAATCAGTACAACCGTACTGATAACCGTAATTCAGTAACCGAAAACGTAGAGGAATGGTCAAAAATCGGTCAAAGGTCGAATTACATACACACAAACATTCAAACACATATACATACTTTTTCTAAATTTGCTCTTCATAGATTTTAAACGTCAAATTTGCTATCGAATGATTTTAAACCTCTTTAAATTTATCCTTCGGAGGTTAAGAAAAGATTATAAAGTAAAATATATTTTAAATAAAAAATAAATCGAAATACATCATAGTGAAATGAATCTTTTTGTGATTAGGCACTAAATTTTCGGTTTATCAATATTATTTGCTAATGTAGTAATTTTTGTTCATTTGAATATGCAGATGTAAAATTTCAAGAAACTTTGTTGATATTATTTTGTATTAATAAAATTGCTAATATTGTTTCAGCAGAAAAATGAGGACTTTATAAGCAAATACTCTAAAAGTTTTTTCAATTCTTATTACCTTAGTTTTCGATTAAAAAAAGAATTTAAATCCAGACTATGTCGCAAAATAGCGCTAAGCCTTCTGAACTGTGGTCGGCCAACTTACGTTGCAATCATATTCTTGGGAGCTCGCTAAATTAAATATTTCAAAAATGTGCAAAATTAAAATTAATTGACGCATGTAATCGAAAGAAAATATAATATCTCTGAAAACACGAAGAATTTCAAACGTTATTATCAAAGTTTTCCTTTATGCGTGTAGCAATTTAAAATATAGTATTTGTAGTACGTACGAGGGGAGTTTTTAAGTTTGCGGTATGAAATCGCGGGCTCATTGTGATACTAACCTGGTAACATTTAACTGACAATTATTCTTCCAACTATCGTCAATCAAGCAACATAATCGGAAGTGAAAATTGAAATGCGGAAAAAATCAAATATCACGCCCTTAGAAATTTCCAAAAAGCATGTAAAATCGCTTACGGCGACAATGAGATGCCATTGGTTTACGGCGACTCTTGTTCAGAAAACATCGTGGTGTATAAGTGGCACAGTGAGAAGCCGTGGAAGACGACCCGGCCCTGTCAGGAAATTCGAAGTGACTACGCCAGAATTTAACCAAAAATGTTTTAAAAAAATTACTCAACCATGTTCGTCTTAAGAAGAGACAGCTTGCAGAAATGGTTGGAGTATCAGATACAACCATTTTTAAAATCCTGCACGATCATTTTGGCATGACTATGATCAGCGAAAGATGGGTGCCAAGAAAGCTCACGCCGCTGCGCGTAGAGATTTTACATGCATTTTTGAACCTCTATAATAAAGACCAGGATGGCGTATTGAGTCGAATTATTACTGGAGACAAATTTAGGGTTATTAGAAGACAAACGTTATTACTGGAGACAAAAATGGGTTCATCATTATGAACCTGAGTCGAAACAAGATTCCATGCAAGAATTTTAAGATGCCACAGTCAGCTGAGAAACTCATGGCAACTGTCTTTTGGAACTTAGAAGAAATATTATTGATTGAAAGATAAAGGTGTTTCTGTAACAGGAGAATACAACCCTTCAATTTTAGAGCAACTAGAATAATCCATTGAGGAGAAAAACGGTGAAAAATCACAAAAAGCATGCAATGCGCTCATTATAAGAGCTACGTTGCACAGACTGCCTTTTGCATATGGGCCCAGTAATTATTACCTGTTTTCAGAAATGAAAAAGAGCTGCGAGTTAAAAAAGTACAACTAATTAAGAAGCCATTTTGGAGATGCAGAAACAATATTTTCTTGGGGGTATAAAAAAATTAATCGAAAAACTTAAAAATGTATCCTTGCAGGAATAATAATTTTATTTATTTATTTCTACCCCTTAACTTCCATTCGACGAATACAAAACTCCCTTTCGTAAGTTGCAAGATGAACTGGAATGATAATGCTCGTTTTTAGAGTTTGGTATTCGAGGTTCTGTTTGTTGCTTTTCAGTCTCCACAATAGAGATATAATCTGATAACATAATATCCTTATTATTACTACCTATATGAATTATTTCAAGAGTCTGAACTAATATTATTTTTATTGATTATGAATTACTCATCACTAAATAATTAATATATAATTCATAGTTGGGAAACAAACAATTCTTAAATTAAAAAAAAAAATACTTCGTGGATGATAAATTTCTTGGGGGTGTGAAACCTCAAAATGAGATAAGATGAACAATATGTACAGCAGTATCATCTATATCAACGACTTTTAATCAATACACTACTAAAAAATTATGAATTCTCACACAAGTTATCAACTTTCACACAAAATACTACTACCGCACCAAATACCACAAAAAACGAATGCAAATAATATGTACATCGTTCGCTATATATACAAACATACTTATAAAAATAATATATGACAGATTTATATATTTACAGCAATTTTATTATATTACATTTATCGGATACAAAACATTGTTCATATAATTTTTAATGATATATGTATATATATTTAGATTAATGCATTTCATACTAATTTAGAAAATAATTTAACTTAAATTTTATAAAATATTACAGCCAAATACGCAAAACCGTATATTATTAGTACATATTTAAAAAATCAATCCTTGTTAAATATATTTACAATGAATGCATACTTACCACTTCTGTAATAATTGTCAAAAATAAAAAAAAGTTATTTCGAAATACTGCAATAAAATCATTATATCGTAGATATAATATTTTTTTTGTATTTCGTTATAATAATTCAAATCAGTAACTACTTCTATTAAGTATTCTACGTTAATTAATAATTACTAGTGGTATGTATTCTTATTGTCAGATTAGCGTTTCTATGTAAGTGAACGTGTCAGATTTAGTTGGAAGAACTAAAAAAATATAATAACTTAAAATTTGGGTTTTGGATATAATTGTTGATTTGGATTATAGAGATGAGCGATATCTTGATATTATATCAATAACGAGTTTATCAAAAATAAGTTGGGTATAACAACGTAATATGTAGGATTTTATAAAAGTGTTTAGCCAAATGTGAATGCAATAACAATTTAGGGTTTTTATAACAAGTGTTATGACAAAATATCTTCGGAACGTCCCTGAGTTGAACCGGTGTGGATAACATAAAGATCTTCATATTTATGTACAAACGTTATGTAACATTGTATATTTAGCTCAAATCTGAAGATTTTATTTAGTTATCTGCTTGATTTCGTAAAGATCTATATACCATCAATTGGCTCCGATCGGATCGGTGGTATTTTTACCGTATGTTTCGTCCCAGAGACTTATTATGCTATAAATAAAATACAGCGAAACGCTAATCTAAATAAAATGTAAGTTTAAGAAATAACTTTTTGTGCTTTTAAAAGGTATAGGTAGGTATATATACATAAGTTCACCACTGATAAAAATAACTATTACTCTTGCCAAATGTTTGTGATCGAATTTGTGTAATAACATGTTAATGACATGCATTAAGTATCATATATACAAAACTTACATATATACACTGTAATATTTAGTACTTTTTCGCATATATGCATATATATATATATATATATATATATATATATATATGCGTGTTTGTATGTGGCTGTGTATTCGTGTATTTATAAGTATATATAATTACAAAAGATTATGTTAAAATAAGATATGATAATATAGCTTTATATATTATGTGGATCAATATGTACAAATGGAGTGTTAGTTATAGATTTTATAAAACTATACAAAGAACGCTATTGTGCATTGGAAGCCAAATTTATATATACATGACATTTTGTTCAAAATTTTTTATACATATATATATATATATATATATATATATATATATATTTCTGGTCATATGGTGTGTTAGTTGGCAATGTATCGTTGAAGTTTCGGAATGTTATTAATCAAAGAAATTATAATAATGTTAATTTTTATAAATTTAAATATATGAAACTCGCGAATGATAAATGGTCAGGTTAACTTTTTTGCGAGCTCTTAAGTCAACATGTCAACAAAAAATCCAACATTTGGATTAATGTGGGGGTACCTATACTTTTTGGAACTCTCATAGAATTATCTACTTTATCATTGTAAATGTACATCTTGTTTAATATAAAGTTGTGATAATATATACATTTAGGATACGCCTTTAAAAAATTATTGTATATGTAATATATATATATAATAAATACATATATACAGATATATGTATACACATATATAGTTATAGTTTAGTGTGGAGGAAGAATAGGAGGGGTGTAGTCACCACACGATGGAAAACCTTCGGGTACAGGTGGCAAATCAGCAAGTGTGCCAACTTGGAAAACGACATTCATACCAATTACGATGTGGAATAAGAAATGACAGTGGAAAATCCAGAATCCTGAAACAGATACACAAATTAAATTATCCGAATATTTATTTGTACCTGTAAAATAAATGTTAACGTTTTAGTTGCCAGATATTGAAATGAATGGTTGCAGGACCAAATTCAGCACTAACGCTTTAACAAATAAACCTCCAATGCAACATAAATACATACATTAAAAATTAATAAAATAGGAGGCCGATCTTCTTATTTTGTTACAGTTTTAAAATCTATGTCTTTTGTCTTTTTAAGTACCTGGATTGTCAGCTCTGAATCTAAGCACTACGTATCCATTATTGGGCACTGCCAAAGTGTCTTTGCCAGGTGGTAAGTTGAACTGTCTGTGCAAAAGTCCTCTTCGATCTAAATCCAAAGCATGTTTCAAATTGATCTTCTTCACTGTAGTATCAGGTGAGCGTCCAATACCAATAACATTGAAGGAGTATCCGTGCAAATGGAATGGATGAGACAGATTTGGTTGTTGTACTGGAAGAAAAGAATTTCATCATGTTTTTTTCAAACGATAAATAATTGTCAACCAAAATGTATAAAGAATGGGAGAAAAGTTACCTTCGTCGACGAGTACGACTTCTACAATAGCATTGAGGGGTATATCTACTTTGTGGGTACACATGCAGTTGTCACCACAGTTGGCGGGTCTGTTGTCTCCATTACAGAACTGTTCAGGATTGATATCATCGTATTGAGAAAGCAGAGGAGCAGATGGTGACATGTACGATATCTCATCCACCAATGATAGTACGTGATCTCCAGTTGGAGCAACTGTAACAAGGACCATTAAATATTCACTTGTGAAACACAACCGTTGATTAAGTTTTTTTGAAAATACCGACCTAAATATCTGTTATAAGTGTTAGGCTGGAACAATGTTTCTGGTCTGTAGACATGGAAACGGAAAGGTAAGAAAATCTTGACATCTGGTTTAAGCTGGAGCAGAGATTCATCAACCGTGTGAGCATTTTTTAATTGATTAACACACACAGCATCGGTACGCAATGGATCATTACACATGGCATCCAATGGGTTCATAACCTAAATTGTAATCATTAAAAAAATAATTAGTAAACGCGATCGCAAATTTTAATTGTTCTAAAATCTCTTCGATACCCACAACAGGGTTTGCGATTTGTCGGTTTAAAATAGGTAGGATGATAATCTTATTTTGAAAAATTAAGCCCATTATCATCACTTCTCTCATTACAGCTACGCCAATAATTTTAAAATCATTTTCTTAAAAAATCATAAAAATAAACCTAATATTTTTTCTAATATATAGGTAAAAAAATAGATAGATGAGTTTTTTATTAAGAAGAATATGTAAGTTGCTATCTATTACGTGAATTATTTGAAAAAAACTACGAAAACCTGAAAAGTATTCTTGTTAATCCATGTTCTCGTCACAAGTAAAAATATTTTGGTATTTGCATAGAGTCTAGCAATATATTAGGCGGATTAAAGGATTCAGTAAATTGATGGAGGTAGAGGTTAAGCTAATTTTTTTGAGTCTATGTCAATATCAAAGTAACATTGCATGTGAAGAGACATATATAATATACGTAAATAGATGAATATCAGTGCATATTATATTGGTGTGTATAACTACTCCTACGAGTTCTAAAATTTACTAGGCTGCTCATTTGAATTATTATATGATTTTTTATGTTGCGAGAACTATGCACTCTACAACCTTACAAGAAAATACAATAAAACTATCATGATAACATTACTTACCGAATGCATTTTTTAGATATTATATTAGATTTCCGTCTCTCGCCTTTCAGTTGTTCCTATTTTTAAGGTAAATTTTTTTAAAGAGCCTTCACCGTACCTTTGCACTTTATGACCAATATCATATATACACAATCTTAATTCTGACTATATACAAATATTACTATGTTAATCAGAAGAGTGTCTGTTTTTATCTACTTTGTATAATGTACAGTTGATAATACGTTTTACTCTTTACAACGGCTTTGGAATGCATTCCAATGTGTACAAACGGAACTATATTACTTATTGATAAAAATGTACGAACTAAAAGAATTGTAATATAGAAGAGTATGTCACCACCGCTTATTTACATGATTATACTAATTGACTAAATTATATACACAATATTTACATTTTCAAAATATATACAATATTCACAAAATAATTAGTTACTTGTATCTTCTTACTCATATGCGCCCAAAGTTTACGTTTTTTAATATATTTTAAGTGGTTATATGGAAGTTCTAGAGACTTGTACTATATCCAGGACAGGTTGTTTAACCGTTATATGTATAATTTATTTTAAAATATAAATGCGTTAAAAGAAAATTAAAAGTGCGATAAAAGTCTTGTTTTTCCAATATTTCTTAGCAATATAAAAAATGTATAGGAATTATATGCTATTTATGTTATATTTAGCAAATTTGTTTTTTTTTTATAGTTACTGGATTGTAAATCTAACTTTTGATAAATACTTTCAGGTTGAGAAAGAATAATACTGTTTTTTATTCGAACCTGCGCGACCTTACTTTATACCGATGTGCGAATATGCGCGAAGTAGTGTGAGGTACAAGCATTATCATTACTCCTCATCAACAATAATTTTACGGAAATGTACCCACCACGCCCTGCGGTAATCCGGAGTCGTACGTGGGCGCCGGAGTCGATGGTTGGTACGGACCCCGAGCATACCGGAGCACGGCCAGTTGCTGAGCGCGCTCGATGCCGCACTCGCCGAGGCCTCGGAGTTGGATCCAGTAGGCGCCCGCGGGCTGCGTGGCTTCGATCACAAAGTCGTAACGTTCTCCTGGAATTTAGACGGTGGTAAATAGATCAATATTTTCTTAGGGAAAATGATGAAGCAGCACTTTTTTCATGCAGCATCTAAAACGCATCAAAAATAGTCATGAATAACAGGTTTATATTAGCGTATTTATAACTTTTCGTAGGGTAAATGACTTTTCGTAGGGTGTGCATATGTGTGTCGTATGTATGTGTAAAAAGGATTGGGACCTATCATATCATTGAATAAATAAATTTTTATAAAAATAAAAGACCATGTCATTTTGACTGAACCTAGTTGTTCCTCTACCTACTTGAATAATATATTTATAGTTGTAAAACTATTTTTATCAATGTTTTTTGTCATATGTTTTCATATAATTACTTTGATATTAAAATTCAATAAGTAGATAAAATAATTAAAAAATGATAACATTTAAGTTTGAAATAATATTTATTCATAACTTTTTTCTTATGAATAAATAAATAAATACAATTATTGAGCACATTCAGATATTCACAAGTATTAGTTACTTCTATTAGTAAAAATATCGATACATAAATTAAACAATTTTATTTAAAAATTATAATTTGGCTACGGGAGTCACAGTATTGTTTAATTATTAATTAGATTGCACATGAATATTTGATTATAATTATACATAACGGTTTTGCTTAATAACATACATAATAATTTACTTATAAATTAATTGTAACAGAATTATTATATTGCAAATTTAAACATCTCATTTAACTTATAAGTTATCAACATTTTTGGTTTATATTGTGGTGGAGAGCTGAAAATTTCTTTACGAACGTTTTACGAAACTTCAAAGAAATAAATAACTCTTTTGAAAAATTGTTTATGTATAAAGATTAGTAAATAAATAATGTTAGTGGGAGTAAACTGCATAACGATTCATGGAACTCCATAAGCATGTGCATCAGACAGCACACAAGCCACTTCGTTCATGGCTGCATATTTGTTTAGACGTAACTGATTGTGAGATACTAAAAACGTCTTTTCATTATGATAATAATTCTATTAAATTTGTTTTAGAAAATCGTTCGCCTATATTTCGTTGCTTGTAAAGAAATTTTAAGAACTCTAAAATGCTTTGTTTAAAACTAGTCAATAACAACATTAACTTTTAATTTAATTAACAATTGCGCTAATGGTGGAAGAATGGCTTGTGTAATTGAGGGAACTGTATTGGGGGCAGATGATTTCCGCATTTTGGGAAATCTGGAGGTACTGGCGGCAGATCAGCTTGAGTTCCCACATGAACGATCAAGTTCATTCCAATGACTATGTGGAACAGGAAGTGGCAATGGAATAACCAATAACCTGGTGAAAATAAATAGTCTAAATATTATTAAATTACAGGCACTTAGAAGTTTTATATAATAACAAGAATGAGAAGGTCTCAACAATGTCAAAGAATCAATATGTATTTTCGATTAAATTTAATGACCTGGATTGTCGGCCCTGAATCGCACAACCACGTATCCATTATTCGGAACAGCAATGGTATCCTTTCCTGGCGGTCTGTTAAATTCTCGATGCAGCAATCCCCTCCTGTCCAGATCTAAAGCATGCTTCAAATTGATCTTCTTCACACTCTTGTCTGGTGATCTTCCCATGCCAATGACGTTGAACGCGTACCCGTGAAGATGGAAGGGATGGGACAAGTTGACTTGTTGAACTGTAGAAAGTTTATTTCATATTAGTTGAATGTCTTTAAAATTATTTTGAACCAAAAATTGATCTTACCCTCATCTACGAGTACTATTTCCACAATGGCGTTCAATGGAATGTCTACTTTGTGAGTGCACATGCAATTGTTTCCACAATTCGGGGGCCTGTTGTCTCCATTGCAGAACTGCTCTGGTGGTATGTCGTATAATTGAGAGATTGGGGGCGCAGGTGGGGAAACGTATGATATTTCGTCCACTAAACTGATCACGTGATCACCACTTGGTGCCACTGAAATTGGAGAAAGACATGTAATGCGAGTTTAAGTTTAGATTCATGATTATTAGTGCTGATATGAAAGAAGTGGTATTGAGTAAGATATTTTAGCAATAGAAAATAAATTGACGAATAGTACAGCGGGAAAAGAACTAGATTCTACCTAAATATCTATTATAAGTGTTCGGTGTGAAAACCTCTTCTGGCCTATAGAACAGGAATCTGAACGGCAGGAAGATCTTCACATCCGGCCTCTGCTGCAGGAGACCTTCATCGACTCTTTTCGAATTTTTTAAATTACTGACGCAGACGGCGTCGGCTCTTTTCACATTACAAACGGCATCCAACGGATTTAGCACCTGTACAGAAAAATAATATATATGCATCGAGGGAATTCAAAATTAGAAGATATCATCGTTGGTGAAGTAAAATATTTTGAAAATTATATTTACAAAAGAATAACTTACCGGATACTTTTGATCATAGATTATATACAATGAGTTGTAGTGACGATCATACATATGTACACATGCATACATACATATATGTATAAATTTGCTTGAATAAAGGAATTGTTCATAAGACTTTTACATTTATAAATTATTTATATAGAACTCTAAATCATTTTTATACAAATATGGATTGTTACAGGAATTTTTCGAAATTGGGCAATTTATAACCTGCCCTATGAAATAAATTAATTTTATGTATTTTATTCAAATCGTTTTTCTAATTCGAATGGTATATTTGACATTTTTGTGAAATATGTAAATGTTTCATATTGCTTTGCAAAATAGGAAAATAATCTGTGCGTGCTAACAGAGCAATCATTTCGATATAGTTTACAATTAATATAAATGTTGTATAAGTTAAAATTGAATAACGTACAAAATTCTTATCATACATTATAATTTACAATCTATATTAAATTATTTCAGGTCACATTCCAAATTTTTCGATTTGGAATTGTTTTTATGTGTCAGGGATAACGTTAGGGTTATAGAACTGTTGTAACTTGGTTTTCTTTTTTTTTTCTTGGTCATCTAGTATGTAATTTTTTCTGTAATTATTATCTATAATATACTAAAAGTTTATAATGTTATTACAGTTAGCTTATATTATTTGTTGGCTTACATTACGAAGAGTGCTTATTATTTGTTGCAACTTTATCTGCTTTACAGAAAATCGTCAGTAAATTTGAAAATATGAAAGCATAATTAAGTGTGTCATTGTATCTTCATGCAAGTTGCACGAACTTCCCGATACGTTCAAATAATGGGCCTAATTAATAAAAATTGAGATTTAGTTATTTAGATGAAATTTTCAACGGTTGATTCAGAAAATAGCGTTTTCGCTTTAACTGAAAACTAATTAATGCGATTAACAATTGATATTTTTCAAACTTTCAATTGATATATGTAATTATATTAACAAGCGTTGCGCTTGTATGTCCACCAGTTTTCGTAGGCCTCTAATATTTTTAAGATTCTAAATTCTATCGCCATGTTTAGTTTCATTAGAAACGCAAAAAAATACATTTTCTTGTAAAGAAATGGTTCGAACGAACTTTAACAAATACTAATCAGTACGATTATCAAACGATATTTCTAAAACGGTTTTTAAATGAATTAAATCGTTTTTTTGCATTTTTCTGCTAATTGTAAAGAAACGGTTTGGCCGACCGTCTCGAAAAACTTTCCAACACGAGTTCTTTTTTAGTTTTGAAATCAGTTCTGCCGTTTTTTGAGAGGTTAAATTTTAGCTCACATGATAAAAAAGCGTTGTAAAATTAAACCTTTGGTTTTAGGGCCGTAATATTTGAGTTAATTTGAATTCAAAAAATAATTACGAAGAAACGGCTTGATCTAAATTTACCAAAATCTAATAATCTAGATTCCCAACAAATATCTTTGCAGCAGCTTTTAAATTTTTAAAATCGGTTCCGGATTTTTGGCCAAAATGTGCAAGACAAGTTTTGCACTTTTCTGCAAATTATAAAGTAACTTTTGTGCTTTTTGTGGCACAATCTGATAAATGCAATCCTTATCGAATTATATTGAATGTGGCCTTTAAAATATCTTCTTTAAATTGGTGAAATCAGTACAACCGTACTGATAACCGTAATTCAGTAACCGAAAACGTAGAGGAATGGTCAAAAATCGGTCAAAGGTCGAATTACATACACACAAACATTCAAACACATATACATACTTTTTCTAAATTTGCTCTTCATAGATTTTAAACGTCAAATTTGCTATCGAATGATTTTAAACCTCTTTAAATTTATCCTTCGGAGGTTAAGAAAAGATTATAAAGTAAAATATATTTTAAATAAAAAAATAAATCGAAATACATCATAGTGAAATGAATCTTTTTGTGATTAGGCACTAAATTTTCGGTTTATCAATATTATTTGCTAATGTAGTAATTTTTGTTCATTTGAATATGCAGATGTAAAATTTCAAGAAACTTTGTTGATATTATTTTGTATTAATAAAATTGCTAATATTGTTTCAGCAGAAAAATGAGGACTTTATAAGCAAATACTCTAAAAGTTTTTTCAATTCTTATTACCTTAGTTTTCGATTAAAAAAAAGAATTTAAATCCAGACTATGTCGCAAAATAGCGCTAAGCCTTCTGAACTGTGGTCGGCCAACTTACGTTGCAATCATATTCTTGGGAGCTCGCTAAATTAAATATTTCAAAAATGTGCAAAATTAAAATTAATTGACGCATGTAATCGAAAGAAAATATAATATCTCTGAAAACACGAAGAATTTCAAACGTTATTATCAAAGTTTTCCTTTATGCGTGTAGCAATTTAAAATATAGTATTTGTAGTACGTACGAGGGGGAGTTTTTAAGTTTGCGGTATGAAATCGCGGGCTCATTGTGATACTAACCTGGTAACATTTAACTGACAATTATTCTTCCAACTATCGTCAATCAAGCAACATAATCGGAAGTGAAAATTGAAATGCGGAAAAAATCAAATATCACGCCCTTAGAAATTTCCAAAAAGCATGTAAAATCGCTTACGGCGACAATGAGATGCCATTGGTTTACGGCGACTCTTGTTCAGAAAACATCGTGGTGTATAAGTGGCACAGTGAGAAGCCGTGGAAGACGACCCGGCCCTGTCAGGAAATTCGAAGTGACTACGCCAGAATTTAACCAAAAATGTTTTAAAAAAATTACTCAACCATGTTCGTCTTAAGAAGAGACAGCTTGCAGAAATGGTTGGAGTATCAGATACAACCATTTTTAAAATCCTGCACGATCATTTTGGCATGACTATGATCAGCGAAAGATGGGTGCCAAGAAAGCTCACGCCGCTGCGCGTAGAGATTTTACATGCATTTTTGAACCTCTATAATAAAGACCAGGATGGCGTATTGAGTCGAATTATTACTGGAGACAAATTTAGGGTTATTAGAAGACAAACGTTATTACTGGAGACAAAAATGGGTTCATCATTATGAACCTGAGTCGAAACAAGATTCCATGCAAGAATTTTAAGATGCCACAGTCAGCTGAGAAACTCATGGCAACTGTCTTTTGGAACTTAGAAGAAATATTATTGATTGAAAGATAAAGGTGTTTCTGTAACAGGAGAATACAACCCTTCAATTTTAGAGCAACTAGAATAATCCATTGAGGAGAAAAACGGTGAAAAATCACAAAAAGCATGCAATGCGCTCATTATAAGAGCTACGTTGCACAGACTGCCTTTTGCATATGGGCCCAGTAATTATTACCTGTTTTCAGAAATGAAAAAAGAGCTGCGAGTTAAAAAAGTACAACTAATTAAGAAGCCATTTTGGAGATGCAGAAACAATATTTTCTTGGGGTATAAAAAAATTAATCGAAAAACTTAAAAATGTATCCTTGCAGGAATAATAATTTTATTTATTTATTTCTACCCCTTAACTTCCATTCGACGAATACAAAACTCCCTTTCGTAAGTTGCAAGATGAACTGGAATGATAATGCTCGTTTTTAGAGTTTGGTATTCGAGGTTCTGTTTGTTGCTTTTCAGTCTCCACAATAGAGATATAATCTGATAACATAATATCCTTATTATTACTACCTATATGAATTATTTCAAGAGTCTGAACTAATATTATTTTTATTGATTATGAATTACTCATCACTAAATAATTAATATATAATTCATAGTTGGGAAACAAACAATTCTTAAATTAAAAAAAAAAATACTTCGTGGATGATAAATTTCTTGGGGGTGTGAAACCTCAAAATGAGATAAGATGAACAATATGTACAGCAGTATCATCTATATCAACGACTTTTAATCAATACACTACTAAAAAATTATGAATTCTCACACAAGTTATCAACTTTCACACAAAATACTACTACCGCACCAAATACCACAAAAAACGAATGCAAATAATATGTACATCGTTCGCTATATATACAAACATACTTATAAAAATAATATATGACAGATTTATATATTTACAGCAATTTTATTATATTACATTTATCGGATACAAAACATTGTTCATATAATTTTTAATGATATATGTATATATATTTAGATTAATGCATTTCATACTAATTTAGAAAATAATTTAACTTAAATTTTATAAAATATTACAGCCAAATACGCAAAACCGTATATTATTAGTACATATTTAAAAAATCAATCCTTGTTAAATATATTTACAATGAATGCATACTTACCACTTCTGTAATAATTGTCAAAAATAAAAAAAAGTTATTTCGAAATACTGCAATAAAATCATTATATCGTAGATATAATATTTTTTTTGTATTTCGTTATAATAATTCAAATCAGTAACTACTTCTATTAAGTATTCTACGTTAATTAATAATTACTAGTGGTATGTATTCTTATTGTCAGATTAGCGTTTCTATGTAAGTGAACGTGTCAGATTTAGTTGGAAGAACTAAAAAAATATAATAACTTAAAATTTGGGTTTTGGATATAATTGTTGATTTGGATTATAGAGATGAGCGATATCTTGATATTATATCAATAACGAGTTTATCAAAAATATAAGTTGGGTATAACAACGTAATATGTAGGATTTTATAAAAGTGTTTAGCCAAATGTGAATGCAATAACAATTTAGGGTTTTTATAACAAGTGTTATGACAAAATATCTTCGGAACGTCCCTGAGTTGAACCGGTGTGGATAACATAAATTTACGTACGTGTGGATCTTCTTATTTATTAGATCTTCATATTTATGTACAAACGTTATGTAACATTGTATATTTAGCTCAAATCTGAAGATTTTATTTAGTTATCTGCTTGATTTCGTAAAGATCTATATACCATCAATTGGCTCCGATCGGATCGGTGGTATTTTTACCGTATGTTTCGTCCCAGAGACTTATTATGCTATAAATAAAATACAGCGAAACGCTAATCTAAATAAAATGTAAGTTTAAGAAATAACTTTTTGTGCTTTTAAAAGGTATAGGTAGGTATATATACATAAGTTCACCACTGATAAAAAATAACTATTACTCTTGCCAAATGTTTGTGATCGAATTTGTGTAATAACATGTTAATGACATGCATTAAGTATCATATATACAAAACTTACATATATACACTGTAATATTTAGTACTTTTTCGCATATATGCATATATATATATATATATATATATATATATATATATATATATATATATGCGTGTTTGTATGTGGCTGTGTATTCGTGTATTTATAAGTATATATAATTACAAAAGATTATGTTAAAATAAGATATGATAATATAGCTTTATATATTATGTGGATCAATATGTACAAATGGAGTGTTAGTTATAGATTTTATAAAACTATACAAAGAACGCTATTGTGCATTGGAAGCCAAATTTATATATACATGACATTTTGTTCAAAATTTTTTATACATATATATATATATATATATATATATATATATATATTTCTGGTCATATGGTGTGTTAGTTGGCAATGTATCGTTGAAGTTTCGGAATGTTATTAATCAAAGAAATTATAATAATGTTAATTTTTATAAATTTAAATATATGAAACTCGCGAATGATAAATGGTCAGGTTAACTTTTTTGCGAGCTCTTAAGTCAACATGTCAACAAAAAATCCAACATTTGGATTAATGTGGGGGTACCTATACTTTTTGGAACTCTCATAGAATTATCTACTTTATCATTGTAAATGTACATCTTGTTTAATATAAAGTTGTGATAATATATACATTTAGGATACGCCTTTAAAAAATTATTGTATATGTAATATATATATATATATATATATATATATATATATATACATATATACAGATATATGTATACACATATATAGTTATAGTTTAGTGTGGAGGAAGAATAGGAGGGGTGTAGTCACCACACGATGGAAAACCTTCGGGTACAGGTGGCAAATCAGCAAGTGTGCCAACTTGGAAAACGACATTCATACCAATTACGATGTGGAATAAGAAATGACAGTGGAAAATCCAGAATCCTGAAACAGATACACAAATTAAATTATCCGAATATTTATTTGTACCTGTAAAATAAATGTTAACGTTTTAGTTGCCAGATATTGAAATGAATGGTTGCAGGACCAAATTCAGCACTAACGCTTTAACAAATAAACCTCCAATGCAACATAAATACATACATTAAAAATTAATAAAATAGGAGGCCGATCTTCTTATTTTGTTACAGTTTTAAAATCTATGTCTTTTGTCTTTTTAAGTACCTGGATTGTCAGCTCTGAATCTAAGCACTACGTATCCATTATTGGGCACTGCCAAAGTGTCTTTGCCAGGTGGTAAGTTGAACTGTCTGTGCAAAAGTCCTCTTCGATCTAAATCCAAAGCATGTTTCAAATTGATCTTCTTCACTGTAGTATCAGGTGAGCGTCCAATACCAATAACATTGAAGGAGTATCCGTGCAAATGGAATGGATGAGACAGATTTGGTTGTTGTACTGGAAGAAAAGAATTTCATCATGTTTTTTTCAAACGATAAATAATTGTCAACCAAAATGTATAAAGAATGGGAGAAAAGTTACCTTCGTCGACGAGTACGACTTCTACAATAGCATTGAGGGGTATATCTACTTTGTGGGTACACATGCAGTTGTCACCACAGTTGGCGGGTCTGTTGTCTCCATTACAGAACTGTTCAGGATTGATATCATCGTATTGAGAAAGCAGAGGAGCAGATGGTGACATGTACGATATCTCATCCACCAATGATAGTACGTGATCTCCAGTTGGAGCAACTGTAACAAGGACCATTAAATATTCACTTGTGAAACACAACCGTTGATTAAGTTTTTTTGAAAATACCGACCTAAATATCTGTTATAAGTGTTAGGCTGGAACAATGTTTCTGGTCTGTAGACATGGAAACGGAAAGGTAAGAAAATCTTGACATCTGGTTTAAGCTGGAGCAGAGATTCATCAACCGTGTGAGCATTTTTTAATTGATTAACACACACAGCATCGGTACGCAATGGATCATTACACATGGCATCCAATGGGTTCATAACCTAAATTGTAATCATTAAAAAAATAATTAGTAAACGCGATCGCAAATTTTAATTGTTCTAAAATCTCTTCGATACCCACAACAGGGTTTGCGATTTGTCGGTTTAAAATAGGTAGGATGATAATCTTATTTTGAAAAATTAAGCCCATTATCATCACTTCTCTCATTACAGCTACGCCAATAATTTTAAAATCATTTTCTTAAAAAATCATAAAAATAAACCTAATATTTTTTCTAATATATAGGTAAAAAAATAGATAGATGAGTTTTTTATTAAGAAGAATATGTAAGTTGCTATCTATTACGTGAATTATTTGAAAAAAACTACGAAAACCTGAAAAGTATTCTTGTTAATCCATGTTCTCGTCACAAGTAAAAATATTTTGGTATTTGCATAGAGTCTAGCAATATATTAGGCGGATTAAAGGATTCAGTAAATTGATGGAGGTAGAGGTTAAGCTAATTTTTTTGAGTCTATGTCAATATCAAAGTAACATTGCATGTGAAGAGACATATATAATATACGTAAATAGATGAATATCAGTGCATATTATATTGGTGTGTATAACTACTCCTACGAGTTCTAAAATTTACTAGGCTGCTCATTTGAATTATTATATGATTTTTTATGTTGCGAGAACTATGCACTCTACAACCTTACAAGAAAATACAATAAAACTATCATGATAACATTACTTACCGAATGCATTTTTTAGATATTATATTAGATTTCCGTCTCTCGCCTTTCAGTTGTTCCTATTTTTAAGGTAAATTTTTTTAAAGAGCCTTCACCGTACCTTTGCACTTTATGACCAATATCATATATACACAATCTTAATTCTGACTATATACAAATATTACTATGTTAATCAGAAGAGTGTCTGTTTTTATCTACTTTGTATAATGTACAGTTGATAATACGTTTTACTCTTTACAACGGCTTTGGAATGCATTCCAATGTGTACAAACGGAACTATATTACTTATTGATAAAAATGTACGAACTAAAAGAATTGTAATATAGAAGAGTATGTCACCACCGCTTATTTACATGATTATACTAATTGACTAAATTATATACACAATATTTACATTTTCAAAATATATACAATATTCACAAAATAATTAGTTACTTGTATCTTCTTACTCATATGCGCCCAAAGTTTACGTTTTTTAATATATTTTAAGTGGTTATATGGAAGTTCTAGAGACTTGTACTATATCCAGGACAGGTTGTTTAACCGTTATATGTATAATTTATTTTAAAATATAAATGCGTTAAAAGAAAATTAAAAGTGCGATAAAAGTCTTGTTTTTCCAATATTTCTTAGCAATATAAAAAATGTATAGGAATTATATGCTATTTATGTTATATTTAGCAAATTTGTTTTTTTTTTATAGTTACTGGATTGTAAATCTAACTTTTGATAAATACTTTCAGGTTGAGAAAGAATAATACTGTTTTTTATTCGAACCTGCGCGACCTTACTTTATACCGATGTGCGAATATGCGCGAAGTAGTGTGAGGTACAAGCATTATCATTACTCCTCATCAACAATAATTTTACGGAAATGTACCCACCACGCCCTGCGGTAATCCGGAGTCGTACGTGGGCGCCGGAGTCGATGGTTGGTACGGACCCCGAGCATACCGGAGCACGGCCAGTTGCTGAGCGCGCTCGATGCCGCACTCGCCGAGGCCTCGGAGTTGGATCCAGTAGGCGCCCGCGGGCTGCGTGGCTTCGATCACAAAGTCGTAACGTTCTCCTGGAATTTAGACGGTGGTAAATAGATCAATATTTTCTTAGGGAAAATGATGAAGCAGCACTTTTTTCATGCAGCATCTAAAACGCATCAAAAATAGTCATGAATAACAGGTTTATATTAGCGTATTTATAACTTTTCGTAGGGTAAATGACTTTTCGTAGGGTGTGCATATGTGTGTCGTATGTATGTATGTACCATTGGGTGTGTCAATGATTTGGATGAATTAAAAATATTGAATCCGTTTTCATCATGCGCGCAGCTCATTGGTATTTAGTAAAGACAAGTTCAAAAATTTTGGTTCGAAATAAGTATGACTCAGTGGCGGATCCAGCTTTGGCGCCAGGGGGGGGGTCACATTATTAAATTATGTATAGAAAATATATTCGCAATACGATTAGAAAATCCTTAAATTTTATGGGTGTTTGACTCCTCTGTTCGTCTATAATAAGTTACATATTGAAGTTATAAAATGTGTTTGGTAACAAAATACATAAATAAAATCATTATGGAGTAATTTTATTGCTGAATAAGTGTTCTATCTGTGTCTTAAAACAAACTCAGGGGGGGGGGTCATGACTCCCGTGACCCACCCCCTAGATCCGCAACTGGTATGACTCATATTCATATCCGATTAACACCTTGAGCCCGGCGGCGGTCGCTGGAGACCGCCAGTCAATATTCCCTATGACCAACAGTCAACATTTTCTATGACCGACAGTCAACATTTCCTATGACCGACAGCCAACATTCTCTATGACCGACGTCGGCTCCAGGTATGACCGGTGTCGGTTTAGAAGCTCGGCACTAGAATTTTTGCTTGGATATACTGTGTGACCGACATTAAAAAAGAAAATTATTCTCAATTAAATTTAAAAATTGTTTTTTTTTAAATCATTCTAAACAAAAATGTGGTACATGGTAAACGTTGCAGATTGTCTGCCCACTGCCAGCTGAACGGAAAGGACAGCAAATTCGGCTGGATCAACGTGTTGAGAAATTTGTGTAAATTTTAATAATGGGTGTTAATTTGTATACTATGACTTGAACTCTGTTTTTTATCAATAAATGTGAATTCTCAAAATATCCGTAAAATTCACTCTAAACAAAATTCATCCTTTTGACGAAACGTTATAAATTCGTATTTTTTTTTTTATATTGAAAGATTTCATATTAAGTATACAATAATTTTAAAACTCAGTATATTAAATTATTTTAAAATGAACTAATCCAATTATTGTCCCATGTACAGTTCATAATTTTCATTTTGCCATATGTGTTATCACCACGTTTTCGATGCAACCAATGAACTCGGCCATCCAAGTTCAATATCTCAAGAATCGATTTATTGAACAATATAACAAACCTGAAAAACTGATGATGGTGTTGACCTCAACCGGTTGTACCGGTTCACCGTCTGTGGCTATGACTTTTAATGAATGTCCTTCAAACGTCAATTGAACTGGACACACTGAAGCGATGGCAGCAATCATACGGAACCTACAAAATTATGTATGAAAATAATTAGCAACAAAAATTAGCACACTAGTATATTTTAGTAACTTTACCTGTATCTTCTTCCGGGAGTGATAGTGAAAATTTCCAAAGGCGTATTGGTCATAAATCCGGTGTTGGGATCACGGAACTGTCCTTTACCGTTAATGAGGAAACTTTCAGGAGCTTGACCTGCATTTACTGCTAATCGTCCGGGGTATCTAGAAATAAAAGTAGAATAATTATGTTTTGTTCAAAAACGTAGATGAATTATCTTGGAAATCGGCCTCAATTTTGTGATTTTAATAAATTTTTACTTTTATTATTTACCTCTCCATTGCGTCTTCGTGCATCCAATCAGAAATTAAAACTATATGTGTAGTGAGATCGAAGTCGTACATGTGGCTGTTTGGATCATGGGATGGAGGTTGACGTACGATTACGGAACCATAAAGACCATCTAATTTTTGTAGACCTGTATGTGAGTGCCAGAAGTGGGTTCCTGCGTTACCAATCCATTGATATCTGTAGCGAAAAAAAAAATTTGTTCCTATTTGGATCAAATAAATTGACATTATTGATCTGGTATTTGCTGACCTGAAGGTGTTACCCTGCTGTATGGGGCACTGCGTGACAAACGGTACTCCATCGTAATATTGGGATCCTCTCTGCCAGATTCCATGCCAATGGATGGTGACTTCCATACCTTCCATATGATTTTCGACATCGACAACGACTCGATCTCCTTCGCATACTTGGATACTTGGTCCTGGGATCATACGATTGGCAGTCAAAATTCCACGCTCGACACCGTCAGCGAGAACACATTGACAATGGGACCAGACTGTGTTTGTTGCGTTGGGGGTACACACTTGACAGGCCCTACAATGGAAAGAGAAAATAATATTTTTATTGTTATTATTAATTCACAGAAAATATATTACAAACAGGATTTTTTGAATTTTCTTTGCAGATAGTACAGTATACGTTTTCATTTAATATTATATTTATATTAATTTGAGCATTAGTATTAATAAATTTTATATCATTAAATTTGAAAGTACGTAACCAATTTGATTGAAACGGTGATTATTGACATTTATTAGTCGAGCTTAAAAACGAGAAGATTTCGCACAATACTTTAGAACTTTCAAATAGTTTATAACAATTGAATTTATTCAGAACTTTCTATATAATATGATAGCTACAAATACATCCAACATAAATCTTCCAACTTCAATAATCAAAAGTTATACGATCGTTTTGCCAAATGTTATTGTTTGACATATATATTTTTTTACTTACGCTCCCAGAACGGTGTAATATTCCAATGTGAAGTGGTAGTAACATATCCTTGGAGGTTCGCCCTCTCTGCACGCCCTGGCGCACTCGTCGGGGGCGGACAGGGATGGGTTCCGTCTCAATTCGGCGGTGGCGCTCGTCGTGAAGTCCAAGTGGCGGAAGGACGTTTTGGCATTTGCTTGATTGCTTGCTGCCAGGACGGAACCGACGAGGGGTGCTGAAGCAGAAATTATAGATATAAGGATATTTGTTTAAAACATTTATGCCATCATGTGCTTTTCTATGTGCGTGTGCACTAAATATCTGAATATTAAGAGTAAACGCACAAATTTTGTCCCAAACGCAATAAACATCAAACGGGTGTGACGGCAACGCACGTTGCTTTTGCGCTACATGTATTGTTCTCATTTTGTGACGTAATTTAAATTGTATAATAACTGTTACACTACACAATACGCTATATTAAAAATACATTTTTATTAAAAACATTGTGAAAATATTATTTCAACAGTAGAATAAGCTTTTCAGAATTTTACGCGTGTCGTTGCTCAAGATCGGTTACGTCAAATTTCGAATAATAATAACCGAATACAGCATTAGTAATTAAATATCTAGATTAGATTTTAATTCAACATCTAGCGAATTATGTCTACAAACATTCGATTCAGTTGTTCTTAATCTTTTTCTCATAGTGCATAGTTGGAAAAATTACACTATACCAGTTGGTAAAAGGTGTAATTAGGTGTTATTCTTATTGCAATATAATATTAAGGTTCTAAAAGTCTCGACGATTTTACAGGGAAGATCTTGGACTTTTGGGTCTAAAATCTCTATTTGGTTATGTAATAATACATTTTATATTTTATCATTACATTTTTATATTAATATTGCAATGAACTTTATATGTTTGGAACTTTTATTTCGTTCTTAATAAACAGTTTTTTCGTCTTTAATAAACACTAGGTGTAAGTGGCTTTAAGGCAATTTTATAAGTATGCGAAGTTGCTGTGGAGCTTCAAAATGTGAAAAAACTATTTCAGAATATTCTGACGCTGACGAAAGTCAAAAAACGTACTTTTTTCTAATTTGGTCTCAAAAGATTGAAAACGGTTTAAAACGTCGAGAAGCATAAAATTAGCAGGTTGGATTTTCTGGCGTAAACAAACTTTTCTTTCGGGAAGTTAATGAAGTAATTTTTATTATTTGATTGAGAAAATTCGAACTCTTATCTATAGTAATTATTATGCATTCAAGTGATTAAGAAAGCTCCAAAATTTTACTTATTATTGATTTAATTTGTATTTTGCTTTATACTACTTTCAAATAAATGTAAGCCTCATTCAGGCAGATTATTTTTTTATAAAATTTAGTAGTTATTATAAATATTAAAAATTACATTTAATTATGTCACCAGTTAGTGTGGCTGCACTGAGGGCAGGATGGGTCTGCACTAATCCATGTGTGGTCGCGAAAAAGTTTCCTGAAGGTGTACCCGTCAGATCAGCTGGGGTTTCCTTAATACCTGAACGCCACCATGTCTGTGACGATGCAGTTTGATCTATTTCTGAAAAAATGTAAGGCAAATTGTTAATATTTATGGATGAATAGAAAACAATTTCGATTGATGATAAAGAAATGGAATTGAGTTTAAAGCTAATGATGTATTTTGGCTTTAATATGATCATACCCCGAGTTAAAAGCTACGGTTTAATTTTAGGTATTATAAGGAAATGGTCGGTTTTGGATTCTTTATAATATTTTTGACCAAGGAACACAGCTTTAGTAGAATGGTGCAAAATTATACAGAAGAGAAAATGATTTTCAATCGATGTGCATGATTTTTCATGGAGATACTTGTTTGGAAGGTGCAAGAAGTTAAAGAGATCTTTACGAGATGATTTGACCTTTAGAACCGCGTTTCAGATTTAGGTAAGTTTTTAATTGCTTAACATTTTAATGTAGATAAATAGTTTGAAATTCATAAAAAATTAACGATATATCATAATCAAAGTCGTTAGAACAAAATAGTTCAAGTATTTCCTCATTATTCTTACGATTCCATCAACTGTCCATCTGTCAATCTGATAGATCCGTCTGTCAAAAAGTTTGAAATTCTCACACGATATCTCTGTACACGCAAATTCTCGAATCACTTTTGAGAAATAGAATTAATTATTTACGTGTCAAGTTTAATATTGTACTACGGTTTTATGTTATCAAGGACCTAGGTAATTTTCTAAAAAAAGTATCGACGTCGTTTTTAACTTGTTTGTCAGGACGCAAGGATTGTAAAACGAAACTTTGCATAAATGAGTAAATTGTCATGCATTTCCTTTATTTTGTGAGATTAATACATAAAACTTGTCGATTTTTATTTAACTGCATAATTGTAAGTTATAATTTTTCATACCGGACAGTGTGAAAGTATTATAATTTATAATTTTCACTTTCAATGCCCGGTAGAACTCTGATATTATTAGCTTTCCAATTTTTCTATATGCTATAAATCACAAAACCTCAACAAATATTCAATTGTCCATTAATTAATTAATCATGTCGAATGAAATGGAGTTCGATCATATTATTATGCATATATATATATATATATATATATATATATATATATATATTAACGATTAAATACAGGAAGATGAAGGTATTTGCACTATGTTAGTATGTCTATGTTTTATGAAATTCTCACTCTACATTGAATACGTGACTATAACCTTTTTTTTCATAAACTCCAATGGAATATTCTGAAAGTTTTAAATATAATCTACTGCTATAATTTAGTAATTGCTATTACTACATCTAATTGATATGCCCAAGACAAATAGTGGTATGACAAATAGGGGTATATGTGGCGTACTGGCAAGGCCTCGGCCTTGCAATTACAAGTTTTTGAGTCCGGATCATGTTGCGTATAACATGATATAAAACAGTAGATCAAAAATTGAAAATAGCCGGCTGAAAAAGCAAAGAGGTAAAATATCAATACAATTTGAAAAAATCAACCATTAACTTCCTTTATAATATATAAAAAACTAAAATAGATAAACAATTAGGCTGTCGTCTAATAGCCATTAGTAAACATAACCGTCGCGAACAATCATAATTACAATAACTTATTGACTATCAAAATTCTGATTACTGTTAAAAAATATAGTTTATTGATTACTTGAATACTATATACTTGAAGCATTCAATTATTCTATATTTTATAACAAATATATTACATATTTTATATCGTTCGACCGAAAAGTAAGCGGCTTAAATCGTTTCGCAAATATTCATGTGTCGAGTACATGGTGTCCGTGGATTTCGACATGTATTTTAAATTGGTTACATTACTAAATCATATAATTTTTGCTTTTTGTGAGAGGAAATTTAAATAGTGACGAGGGAGAGAGAATTAATGCTCGTTGTTCTTAGAAAGATTTTATAATTCACATTTATACTTACATATGAAAATATACGTGCATGCTGTGTGTACATGTTTCTACTTGATCTTATGTACTTTTATAGACAAATCCACTTTCGGATATTTATAATGATATATACCAAAAGTTGAAAAATATTAAACACAACGACTAAAAACAAATATCCAATATAATATATAATTAGAATAATTATAATACAGAATATGTTAAATACAAAACTAAAAGTAAAACACTATAATGTTAAGATTTGAACATGTTAAACACCAGTGATGGACTAAAAGTTGCGAAGCAGTTTTAGTTTATCGTTAATGTTTAACAAGTATATATTTTAATATTGTTTGTGTCTACTCTTATTTTTTATTTTTTGATTAAAAATTATGCCGATAGTATTTACTAATTGTTTTTAATTGTTTGTTATGATATAAACAATTTGTGCGTGTCACACTGAAGATAAGTCCGTGCATTTTGAATACAAATTTTCATGCATTCATTAATAAGCGTGTTAATTAATTGGAAGCTCAAGGTTCATTATATATGTATGTATAACACATAAATTCCGATTAGCATTAGCAATTCAAAGCAAATACGATTAACTTTTGAGATTGTTACAATCTCATAACTTCTGAACACACCTGCGGCGGCACAATCAGGACTATTACGTGAATATTACATATATTACATAAACTTTCGTGCGCCAACAATTATTTTTCGCCCCTTACTAGAAAACTTATTTGGTTTATGACTTCCGCAATTTTTTAAGCACAATGAAAAAATCAGTAGATTCGAAATTGAAGCATCGTTTGTACCTAAGTACTTGTGTGCTTACGAATTTATGTCTTTATAAACTTATTTACTTAGATATTTATGTACTTATTTGCTTTTGATATTTATGTACTCAAGCACTTTTGATTATATACTTATCTACTAATGTACAATTTTAAATTAAGCTATTGTAACCATGCATAGAAGATTCTTATAAAATAACAACATCATTCTTATTGATTTTTTATCTGTACTCGGATTATTGTATGAAATTGACTAAAAAATATTAATGATTTAATTAATATCTGAATACTGCATTTTGA